ATAGATGTGCACTACTGGTGATGTCCGACAGGCGTCGGAGGCAGGGTGATTGTGTCCTCATTTTCTGAATTTGTACTCTGTACCCACTGAAACCTTAGCCGGCCGGGAGATGCGAAAGAAAGCCTAAATTGGCTCTTGTAACGTTGCAGTACGTCTGAGATGTTTGTCGAGCTCTGAAAACCGCTTGGAATTGGCAAAGCATGAAATGGCATGGCTGCATTTGGGCAAACGATGCAGCCAAATTTCGAGAAGTACTGATACGTCCATACTCAAGCCACTTAAGAGGTGGCGCACCTCCAGTAAAAGTGTCGATGTTTGATTGCTTTGTAACTACCAGCTAGAGAAGCGCTGAGGAAAGAAGCTTATAGTGAAGGTGCACCGCGTCCTACTTCGGTCCAGTGCAGCACGTCATAGTGGCTTGCAGTTCCGGCTGTGAGGATCAAGTAATAATCGCAGCAGGTGCGGTAACAAGCTGTTGACATTATCCGAATCGAGTGCGAAGCTTTTATAGAGGAATTCTGCCTCCAGGATCATGAGCCGTAAAGCAGTGTCCACCCCCATACATGGACGAGTGACGAAATGAACAGTCTGCTCGTGCGCACAATATTCGGAATTGACAATGGGACAAAGTACCATTTATTGAAAGCAGTCGATATTTCAGAGAACAAAGTTAATTCCTTTAGGAGCCGCGAACAATGTTGCGCAAATGATTCTGATCGCTGCCAAACATTTAGTGGAACTAGTTGGCTCAAGCGAATAGATTCACCCTGTCCGTTTGGCTGTTAACGCCTATCGTACCTTATAGCTGGGGAGAATGTGCAAAATTGACGGAATGAAAAGCAATTGTCCCGCCTATTGGTTAAAAAGGGTACTTTTATTTCTTGGAGTTATACAGGAAAGAGCCATGATTCCATGTAAGACCAGTAACTTTCAGTTAAGCCCGGTTGTCCTCATGGAGTCAAAGCAACCGCAATAACTCTATGCTGCCCTGACGTTTAACGCAGGCAAACGTAGTAGCCGCTTGACACTTGTTTGCTCGGCGCGCTGACAGCGGTCTCCCGTAAGTTGCTACCAACATTCATTAGCCAAGTAGATAGAGCGACAGCGGGGAGAACGTGCCTTCTCATTTTGAACCGGTTCCAGTTGTGACATTGTGTGGAGCCGCCTAAGCTGGGCCGAAAATGCTGCCGGAGTTCACTCCTAACTTCACATATTAGTGTAAGCTTGGTAAGCTTGTTCTCCAGGACAGCGATGGTATTCTAAACAAGTGATGCATCTGCAAGAGCTAAAGATACTAAAGGTGATCCCGAAACCCAAACAAGGAATGCAGCCAAGTCTATTTGCCTTTTCTATTAAGGCATGTTCGAACTTTGAGGGTTAGAATGCAACTAGCAATCCAAACACTAAAATCGGTCGCACGTGAGCACTGAAAATGAGCTTGTATATATTCAGCGTCATACGTGAATAGGAGCCTTTTATGGCAGAGCAACTGCCGTTTGCAGCGGCGACTCCCTCCAACGCGCTAGTTAAGGGGCTTGTAGTTTGTGTCCGGTCGAGGCTTCCACGGACTTCCCCGCCTATTGCGGTAGTAGTGCAAAACAAGAAGCTAAATGGGATAATTCTTGGGCAATTGTATAGTTTCATGGCAAGGAAATAGTAACAGAAAATGGACTAAATGATGTGCCTGATACATCGTCGCGAGCTGGATGTGGCGAATGCGGATGCCTAGGAAGGATCGAACCTGCGCCTGGATGAATGGGATAAAAACGCACGTGTGATGCCCTACTAACACCGAAAACGGACGAAGCTAATTACGAGAAAACCACAATGACCCATCAGGCCAGGCTTGCTGAACTCTCATACGTCGACCTCTGCAGCGACCCTTTCTGACCTGTTAAAAGAACATTGATGCACTTGGTACTGGACGTTGGTCAGGCTAGAGGCGCATCCAAGTACGTTACAAGCGTTTACTTAACTAGCGAACAAAGGACTCCGGCACTTCAATGTTTAAACGATTCCCTTTTCTGCTTGAAACAAAAATGAAAAAAACTAATGTAGTCGTGGTATTTTCATGGACAAAGACCGCGAGGTATCACACGACGTCCCGTTGAAACAAATGCCAATAAAGTTACTGCACCACTGAAGCAAGATGCAACCAACGTGGATCTAGGCCCCTTTTAAAGACTACTGCCCTCTCGCAAGTCATTAACAGGAAAGGAAGCTTTGTGCATTCGCTTAAAATTTTAAGTTCTTGTGACACCGGAACTAGTAGAATCCTGTGAAGGTTCCACTAGAAGAAACCGCATTGAACCAAGGGAGTGTTTTGTAGAACAATCGGTAAGGCGGGGTCAAGACAACTATATATATGTATAACAGAATTTCTTATATGAGTTTGGTTTAAATACGGATACCCGAACTTTAAGGCTGCAAGTCTAAATGTTAAAGTAAACACCAATAGATCGTCCTGGATACTTCTTCCCATGCATGGGCAATTGGCTGTTAGCCTGCCCTCTAAACAATACCCATACACATTGTTATTACTATGG